AATAAAACAAACACTTACCAATTGATTGTGGGCTTTTATCGACAAAGCAGGAGCAAAGTTTACATATGTATGAGGACAACACCAACTGTTGTTTGTGCTGAGTCAAACATAGTGGAGCTCTGCATCCCATCCTGACAAAACCCCAGGAGCTGTTGCATATCACATGGTTGAAGATACACATTTCTTTAAAACCATGGCATCCCCCATACCGTCTGCACAATAGCCATAAATTATGGCCAGTAAAATTAAACATGTAAATATAGCACATCTGAATAAAAAAAAAAAATGCTGTTCTTTGACATCTTACAGAACAAACTGCTTCATAAAGTTGCAATGTGCTTTAAATACACTATGATCACCGTTCTCCCTGAGAAAACTGGCTATGTTATTTTTAAAAACCAAATGAAAGTCAGCAGACATTTTGAGCTGCACAATTTAATTACCTTCAAACACCAGCAACACAGTGAGGCCTGTAGTTTGTTTGATGATGTAATTTAGCAATAAACTGTTAAGCTAATAGTAGACAGTCAAGCCCCCTGCTGATTCTAATGGGGGCATTTTCTGAATGCATATAAAGCTCATTTGCCTTATCGTCTTAGTCAGAAAATCAGCTCAGTGTGATGGGGATAGTTATCTTCGTAGGTGCTGCAGTACAGTACCCTGAATCTTTGTTATTCTTTTTCTTTTTCCTTTAAAGATGTTGGTAACTGCAAATAATGATTGTTTGTGAAAATTCATGTCACAGCTCCATCTAGTGAAAGGATACAGGTGGTGCATTAAAAAAAAACCAGTCGGCTACAAGATTAAAACCCCTAGTAGTTAAAAGCACTGATCATTTCATCACGTTAAAGTGTTCTTCAGGTAAACCTTTGTTCACATCCTGGACAAGTACTGACGATCATTGTTGTATGCAGGGAATCACTTTATTGTTGCACTTTGAGATCATTCAGTTAAATTAGTAATGGGCTACAGAGTAGATAAATAGACTCACGTGTAGTTCTCTGAGAAAGTTAAAATGATAGCCCAGATGCAATTACATTTTGTTTTTCTGCACTTGGCTGCTTAAATGTGACTCACATTTTTAGCAATAAGAAACTGGTGGCTCTAGTTTCTTTGGCGTTATACATATTTTATAGTAAAGACGGACCCCTGTTTGTTAGTAGTTCATGGAGATTTAGAAAAAAATGAAGGTTATACAGGTTTGTTAAAACAGAAGCTTTCAGGTTGAGATACTTTACTTGTTGTGGCAATGTGATTCATTTTGGAACTTTTCCAGACTAACAATTTATCTGTCAATTAAAAGCCTTCAATCCACATTTGTTAGAGGTAAAAATTACTGTGTGTGTGTGTGTGTGTGTGTGTGCAATCCATCATGTTCTCATCCCACGGTACAAATGCTGATGCATCAGATGGGCTGCTTGTATCACAGTGAATTCGTTTAAATTCTTTAATATTTGCAGCAACATTTGTGCATACATTCTAGATGTTTCTAGGAACACAACTTCATATATTTTTGAAGATGAGAAGGCCTGTGCAAATGAAGCCTCTAACCTTGAGGATCTATCTTCTGAAACTACTTGTCATGCAGGTTGACATCCAAGACAGACTCATATACCTGGATGTTTCCTACATGCCGATTCAATTTGAAGTTTTATTGATTCAATTTGTCCGTCTGAGCAAGAAAAGACAAAACCTAGTAAAAAGAAAATTAAAGTAACAATGTTAATAATACAACAGCAAAGATTCAGAAGCTGGAAATACCAACAGTTTATTTTCTACTTTTTGTGACTACAGAAATGTTGAAACATTTGAACACTGAAAAAAGCTGAATGACATCATCACTTGCTTCTCAATTTTCTTTCTTTTTTATCATTTGCTTAGCAATCACAACAGATGATATTGCACGGCACTGAGAAAGCAGTAGCAAAGCCTGGGAAACAGCAATGACAAATCAAGTCATGAGACATGGAGTTTTACATCTGAGAGTAACACCGACAGTATTGCCTCTCTGGCATACACGCACGCACGCACGCACACACACACACAAACACGCACACACACACACACTGACACGCAGACTAAAAACCGAAGAAGCACTGTGAGTTGATAAGGAGGTCAAAAGAAAGAGATCGAGTCTGACAAGAGCACAAGGCTGACAAGAGCAAGGAGATTTCATTTTGAAATGCAAGTGCAAAATGAACTTCTACTGTAATTTATTCCTAAATGTCTATGACAACAAATATGCTTGTTTATCAAAACCCTTCAAGCATCTTTGTATATGAATAGCTGGAGGACACCCCTCTGCGGGTGGGAAACTAGTTCCCCAGCGTAAGAGATCCAGATGATTGTCTTAGGTGCTGCAGTATTGTTATGAGACTTGTAGCCAAGCTACCCATCATATGGGAACTCCTTATGGGCAAAACAAATAATAAGAGATGAATTAGGAAACAGGAAAACATAGGCCCACGCTGCATTATCCTTTTGTTCACTTTACAGGCCTTTTTATGTAAAATTAAAGCATCTGTACTTATTCATTCAAGACACAATGAATGCATAACATCCTGATGTAATCTGTCATGGACATTTTGGTGATGACCCCTTAGTCCGTGGAGACTCTGTGCTGTCTGAGCATGACAGAGAGGAAACAGTACTAACAGTGCGGCCTCTGATACCCAGAGACCTACTGTTTTAAAATGTACCAGTCAGCCACACACATGCATACACATCAGCAAAAAGCTTGACAATATGCAGCACAAACACATTAGACAATGGGCAACGACAGAATCAAAGAGATGCATGCAAATGAGCTCACATACAAACTTGCATACTTCAGCAGTACTTGACATTTGAGGCGCACGCTCACATTCACAGACAGAAAAACAGAAGAGCAAGCCGAATAATCGTCCCCATACACACTCGCACACAGATTCCTTGGTAAGGTTCTTTGCAGTTTTATTAGACTTTGCTTATAGTCATTACACGAGTACGTACCAAAAGAACAGATACTAGATGGAGCAAGGCGGCGGTGCCACGGCAATAAAAACAGACCCAGCTCCGCGGCACAGCCCCTGGCAGACCGGCTGCCCAGCCTAAACTCCACCTCACTCTGTGTATGAGACAGCAAAGTGAGCGGGGCTTGCAGCCCTCGTTTCAAATGCTCCAGATTGTACATTGAACAGGAGATTCCCCACATGGTAGAGTAAGCTTGCCTACATAGCCCTACGCCTTCTACATTCTATACCCGTGCGAATGGCAAATCAAAACTCAACAAGTCTACCTCACAAATGCCAGTGCTTTTCAACATTATACATATTTTTTTTCCAATTTTTGGTTTGTTTTAAAAATCTTTGGATGTGCAGTAATACCCATAAAATAAGTGTTTTTAAAAAGTCAAAAGAATAGAAAAACACACACACGTACACACTGCTTTTTGCCAACTGTTCAACAAAGTAGCTCCTGTATAACTTTGTCTGCATTGGCAAATCAACTGTCTTGGTTTCTGGCAGTGTTTAAAACACACATTGAAATGCCGGCTAGGATTTAGCTGAAGAAGAATAAAAACTACTCCTTTGTTATATCTAAGCATGGGAAATAAGGCTGTAACATAAATGGTCTTTTTTGTTTCTTTTCTTTTTTCCAAAAACCTACTATATACAAATCTAGAGTTTCTACAAATGCATAAATTAAAGTAGTGGTTAACCAATACAAAAATGCAATTAAATTAAAATCACAACACAGAAGTAGAGAAAAGGGAAAATATGAACACAATATCACAGCAGTTGGTTTTACCCTGTAAAAGCAATAGTCTACCATCATAATATTGGCATAACCCAGTGTCCGATAAAAAATACGCTTCTCCCTCCATCCCAAAAGTTTCCTACATCAACCCTGAAACTTGTCCTCCATGTCTTGAAACAGAGCACTTCTGCCAAAAAACAAAACAGAACAAAAAACAGCAACTTCAAAATAGATAATCATACAGCTTTTTGAAGTAACAATAACAATTACCACACAAGTGGAGTTCTGCCTAACTCACAGATAGACGTCTCAATGCAGAACTCAAAGGAATTATTACTATGAGGTATTCAGACACATTGGTAAAGACATGCACGGCCAGAGTGCTGGACCTTCCTACACACAGCAGAGAGACAAGCAAGGTTAAGGGAAAGAGGGATGGAGGGATGAAGGGCGGGCAGGGGAGAGGATAAACAAAGACCTTTGGTTTAAACTGTAGAAGTGGACAACAAAAATTCCTTTGGTATGTTTTCATTGCATGGTTGCGCTGGCGAAAGCACCACGGTGTGATTAAAGAAAAAAATCTTCTCATTGTTTCTTCAGTAGTGGCCCTTCTACAGGCTGAGGTATTCACAGAGTCAAAGGTGAGAGGTCAACAGCGGTTTAACACTTTGGTTCAAGCAAGGCACTCGTCCTGGGAGTTTTAGAAAGATTGCAACACGTCTGCTTCTACTTTCAGGAACATGTCTGCCTATAGTTGAGTCATCAACTCTGCCCATGGCTATGTCAGGTTGTCTGCCTGTTGTAAGGTGAAGATGTCTGACCTATTTGTTGGATCAATATTATCAGCCTATAGATACACACTAACAGGCAGGCCAGGTGGAAATAAAGCTGCAACACTGAGAGCTCTGGTGGGGTAAGGCTTCAGATGCAAATTTAAAATCATTAATGAACCAAACTAAAAGCCTTTCCTGTCAACAAAGCGGTAGACAGTAATGTGTTTCTGTTATGAACAACCACTGATCACATTACTAATAAGGTAGTTGTACCCCACAGGCACCAGCATGGCTGATTGTGTGTATCTAAGGCTAGTTCAGCACATCTGCCTATAGCTACATCAGTATGACTATCTATGGAGCTGTAATCAGAGCACAGATGAAGCAAGAGCACGCATAGCGGAGGTGCATGGGTTGAGTGCAGGTGGGAGGGGGAGAAAGAGGAGGAGAAAGGAGAAGGGAAAAAGAGACAGGAGATAGGGGGGAGGGGACACATACATCACATCTTTGAACACCACTCATAGAGGCCGTGCAATGAGAAAAAATCTTTGGTTATCTTTGGTATCATCAAAGTGATAAAAATCACGTATGGAACTTGAGTGAGGTAGCATCTTTGGTTCACACTATAAAACATCAGCAGGTCTTGACACATTTTTTTTTTGGTTTCTTGTCGTCTTTTTGGTTTTTCTCTCAGAGATAAAGAAAAAGCAGCTCTCTCTTGCCTCTCCTTCAGCGCTTGTTCTGATGAATGTAGAGCTGCTAACCCTGGCCATGAAGAGGATGACGGCAAGGGGCCAGCGTAATATATCTAATGCTATGCTGCCCTGGGCCAGCCCTGTGTAGTGCTTTCCTCCTAGTGCTGAAATGCATAGCTTACTAGGAGAGTGGAGGCAGGGAGGGGAGGAAGTGCAGGGTGGATTGGCAGCAGGCAGGGAGCGGGGGTGCTTTCGTATTCAGGTGACAAGCTGACATTGCTGTGTAAGCGCCTGAAAGTGATTTGATCATTGATATCATCTCCTCCGCCCAACATCTTTGATGAGGAGATAAAATCAAATACATATGAAGTGCTTATTAAAACCACCAGAGGCACTGTGGTTTTGACACGCTCCCTCACACAGTGTCAAAACCACACATAGATCCAGTAGCTTGTGTTTTAGAAAACTGAAGAGATTTGTCTTTGACAGGTGCTGGATTTTGAACACATAAAGTAGAACTAAACCTGCCGGCATTAGCTAAGCAGATTAGAAGGATTAGATGTAGCTGTAATGACTAACCTTAACATTGAGTACAATGATCATAATTCAGGAGAGTGTCTGCGAAGTTAAAAGTGGTATAGTCTATTTCTTTCCAAGAAGGCATCTATAAGGCAAATATCAATAGTTAATTTTTAGGGTTATACCATAGAGTATTTCCGTTTGCAGGGAGCAAATATTTAAACGTGACTCAAAATGTTCTGTGGAGAAGGACAAGTATGATGTCCTTCTTCGTGGAGCACACTAACAGTCTGTCTCAGGAGGTAAGGGAGGAAAACAGGTAAAAAATACTTTTATCAACTACAAAATATATTCTTTGGTCAAATTACTTCATAGGATGTTCTTAAGTGGTTTGATTTCTAAACTGCAAAAGAGGCTTCAAGGTGTAGAAGGCTTTGGTTTTTCTTTTTGAATTATTCAATGCCTCAGCATGTTGGAAGAAAGCACTACCATGTGGGTTGATGTTAGGCATTTTTTTCTATTTGGTTTGGTTTAGGGTTGGACCTTTTGGTTTTAGGGTTAGCAGTCTACGCATGGACATTTCCCTGTCTGTCTGGAATGCTTGATAGAAAGACAGACAGCTGGACAAACAGTCAGACAGTCCGCTCCACTGATCCGAACAAGGTTGCACAACAATCCAGTCTCTCCTGTGGGATTTTTTTTCTTTAAAGTTGATTGGCCAATCCCACTGGAGCTCCACATTCTGGCTGTTTTCGAGGCCGTGGACAACTGCAGATCAGACTGTCAAGAGGCTGATTAAACCTCTGTTTAGGGACCCATCATCAAAACCAACCAATCAGATTAAAGATAACAGTGGCGAATGATAGATTCATACTGGGTGGGGAGGTGAGGGGAGGGTGTAATAAAGCTAGAGACCAGTGACAGCGAGTGTGTGTGAGAGGGGGAGTAAAACTATAGTCTTTTTGCAGTATGTTACACATAAATGTGTTGCTAAAACAAACATTGTAAAGCAGGTCAAAGGAGAAGTCTTTGGTTTGTTTTTTCATCTTTGGATACTATAAATATCAATATAGTACAGGTTTAAGGGCAAAACGTTGCTTCAAGGTCTTTTTTAAGTTTTCTTTGTTTCTCTTAAGTTTTAAAGCTTTTCCACCGAGGTTGAGTCAGTCCATGAGTTGGTCAAATCAGTCCTTCTTCAGGCTTTGGTGCAGGCGTTGGGGCCAGAGTTGGCTGAGTGACCAGAGCCGTCATCCACCCACTTATCTAGGCTCCGGCGGCGTGCGTTCATAAAGAAGTTGCTGACTGTAGCCAGCTCGAGGCCCAGCTGTTGAGCAATGGTGAGTTGCAGCTCTTTGGATGGACGCTTGTTCTCTTTGAAGATGGCATGGAGTGTCCGCCGCTGCACATCTGTGAACACAAGCCGGGGCTTCTTGGTCACATTTCCCCGCTCGCTTCTGCCGTGGTCCTGTTCCTTACGCTTACATGCTGTGGAGATTTCAGCAAAGAGACATACAGAGAGAGAGAGGGGATTTGTGAGAGAGGGCAGAAGACAGAAAAACGAGAATCACAACTTATCCTGGGATTTTAAAAAGTCCTGAGTAAAGAGTGTGGCCTGAATTGGTTCTTTTCCACAATATTAGGTTGGGGGAGGCAGGTTGTAGTTTCCACTCCAACTCTGCAAAGTCCTCAGTGATGATCACAAGTATTTCAAATGCTAAAATGTTGTTTTATCTTCATAAAAAGTAAAACAGAGGTTTTGTATGTGACAATTTGTATTTTTCGCTTTTGTATCCTGATTGTCAAGACCTGAGACCTGTTCAAAATACAAAAATTACATATTCTGATAACATAGGATTGGGGTCAGGGGTACTTAATCCTCTAGGGACTAAATGTGCTAAACTAATGTGATTATCTAAAGCCAATCCAAGCCTCTTTACTGTGTAATGTTATAGAGAAGTCAATTTGGATCTACTCTGATATGGACTTTTTTGGTCCTATGGATACACATGCAGCTGAAATTTGTTTTTAGTGATGCCAACATGAAGAATATTCAGTTGTATCAAGAACCAAATTATACACAAGTTCTTATTTGTATATCTCTTTAATTTCCTTTAATTCCTAGAAACATATATTTTTCTTGTGTTTCATGCTTGCTCTAATAAAATATTAGCCTTCAATGTAAACGATGCACAGCCTGTTTTGAAAGCTTCCTTATGTTTGATGTAGCTTGTGTGTGGTTTGAGTTTGGTGAAATCAAGTAAACTGTCTTTGCTGGTCTAAGCAAATTTTTGGATACTATTTCATATTTCACATTTTTGGATACTAAACCAGTAGAACTGGTAATTGAAAGGTTTTATCAACATTTTTCACAGACACATTTCTATTACGGTTTTTGCATCATTTACTCTGAAAGAATCACACAGCCAATGATTGTTGGAAGTAGTGCTATTTTTGTTCAAAACTCCTCTTTTCAGATTTTTTAAAAGGTACATGAGATATAATAGCAAAATTAGACTCATAGATCCACATAGAGCCTCTTTTGATTCAGGCACCAAAGGTTTCGTGGGTCCAGAAGAAGAGCAATCAGCAGGAAGCATGCCAGAACAATGAGCGCTGTCCACGGTGCTGAAAGCAATGTCCCCCGCAGGTGACGTAGATAAATAAAGAAAATGAACTGGAGATGATTTTATACTGGAAAAACAAAAACTTGGGAATCCATCTGATAAAAAGTCAAACTTCAGTTAATCGGAACTCTTTGCTACATGGCTACAGCTTTTTTTTTTATTAACACCCCAAGCTCCAGTCATTTAAACGGAGAGTGAGGTCAGACCAGGAGGGGGCAGACGCGGGCTGCTAAGGTGAGACCAAATATGGGCTCACTGGGGAAATTAATGAACAACACATCACAACCACAAAACAATTCTCCGACCAGTACCGATTAATTTTGCAAAGTGCACGAAGTAAACAAACGCATTTCATGAGTCAACCCGAGACAACGTGCTGAAAACAGAAAACTTCGATCAGCCAAATTTAGACACCTTTTTTGAAAAAAAAAAAAGGGTAGAGGAGAACAACTACAGTAAGTGTTTCCCTACACTAATAAACTAATAAAATGACTTCCCGTTCTATATTGTAGTAAAGCACTACATATTATCGTTAAACTCTACTTTATTCCTCTTGTTGTTCTTAGTTTTGGTGTATTATCTCCAAATGAAAGCTTAAGTAACACTACGCGATACTTTAAAAACGATTAGAATTATAAAATCAAAAGAGGACCTGCCCCCCGCCGAGATCTCACATGATACATGATTTCTAATTTCAAGCACTTTCTTCAGCATGTGCTAAAGTACAGCGAAGCGGCCTGTTAGCATGACCATAAAGTGGAGTGGGTGTATAATTGTGAGTATGAGCAGCCCGTTGTCTCCAGTACAGGTAAATATTAACAGAGGGCCGGAGCTCCTCGTGTAAGGGTTGCAATAAATCAGCACGAGTGAAGGCCACTCAGACAGCAGGAGCCAGCACAGAGGAGCCCGACCCCGCACGGGAGGCCCGCGAAGACAGGGAGCTTTCCCAGGACCGATGGGAACATAACAACGGCCTCGTTATCGGGCTAATCACACACACACACACACACACACACACACACACACACACACACACACACACACACACACACACACACACACACACACACACCGCTGCTGCTCCCGGCTAATCATTACAAACACGAGATAACTCCACACACTAAAACAGACTGCACACATAGCGTGTACTGACACAATGTGACGAAAGCCCCGCGTTTCATAACCGTACAGAGAACAACAAACAGACATCTGAGCTGAAAACGTTGCGAAGCCCAGCGTGTATTTATTTCAAGAATCTACATCCCGATTAAGTGGAAGTAGATAATTATTCACCAAGAATAATAAAAAGAAAACACAACCACCATCAAGAAAGGTCTATGCAATCACAGCTTCTTTCCACAAAAAAAAAAAAGTTGTAATGAATTCCTATGCGCTGTCTGGAGTGGGTTCTCTCCTCACTTTTATATCTCATTGTATTCTATTTTATTCTATTCCATTCTACACATACAAATATTCGGATGGGTAATTGAATACGTGGGAAAACGAGAGAAGGCCCAAGATTAATTTCAGAAGCCTAAAATCAATGAACAGATCAAATCTACCTCAGCACAAGATCACATATCCAGTTCACACAGGAACGAACGGATCAATAAAATGGCGCTCAGACTATTTTATTCTGAATTTTCTTAATTTTTAACTTAATTCTCCCCCTCTTTCTCCATTATCCATCTTCTTTATCTGACATTTTCTAAATAAAACTCGCAATTGATATTTTGGTACTTTTTTGGCCAACCTCCCCCCCCCAAAATAAAAAAATCAACAAAAACAAGAGTTTATACAGTTTAAATATGTTTTTTTTAAGTTAGGTAACATCGACAAAGAAAAATACAACAATAACTGAAGCAGGCCTGTTACATTTTCCCTGCACTGTATGAATATCTATTTCTCTGAAAAATAAAATCAGAGCTTTAACGATACAAGTCAATATGCTGCTGGTCTGAGTTTAGTTTTAATTATATGCTCATTCCACTAATGATAAAATGATGCAAATGCAATATCAAATATGTGTGCGCGCGTGTGTGTTTCACTCATTTTCCACTGATA